AGAGTCAATCAACCATGGATTGTGTAGCACTATGGTATGAATTCGTTGATTTAAAAAATCAGTGTATAAGCGGACCCATGCAGTTTAAAGCTGTGTTGTGTGTCAACTATAATTCCCATGACCACTCCCTCTAGGGGGCGCTAGTCAGAGCCAAGAGAAATAAATGTAATGACTAAATTAAAATGAACAACTCTATCTCAACAAATCTGGAAAAAAATTCTAAAGAAAATACAATTTAAAGAGATTGCAATGAAAAAAGTATGTCCACAACTCTTATCGTTTGGTGTGTGGTTGCCTACTGTATTATTAAGGATTCTGCGGAGAAACAGAACATGAATAAGTTAGAAGGAATCAGCTCATGTGACTGTGGAGGCTGAGAAGTCTCAGATCTACAGTCGGCAAGCTGGGGGCCTGGGAAGGCTGATGGTGTCATTCCAGTCCAAGTCCAAAGGATTGAGAACTGGGAGAGCCCATGGTGTAAATTCCAGAACAAAAGCCAGAGGCTCAAGATCCAAAAAGAACCAATGTTTCAGTTTGAATCTGAAGGCAGGGAAAAGACCAACGCTCCAGTTTAAGGCAGTCAGGCGGCGTTCCCTGTTACTCGGAAAAGAATTAGCCTTTTCCTTCTATCCAGGCCTTCAACTGATTGCCCGAGGTCCACTTACATCATGCAGGGCAATCTGCATTGTTCAGTCTATCAATTCAAATGTTAATCTCAAAAAAGTGTTAATTTCATCCAGAAACACCTTCACAGGCAGACATATCCAAAATAACGTGTGACCAGGTACCCGGGCACCCCATAGCCTATTCAGGTTGAAACAATGAATTAATCACAAGCCTACCTTCTGTCAACTTGGCCCCCACAGGCAGCTCTTTAAACCACACTCGATCTCTACGTAAAGACAATAACAAGCTCATACTTCCACCCGACATAATACAACTATCCTGCCTCCAACCCCAAACTCACTAACCTCTTCCCCAGAAGAGGCGGTAACAACCTTGAGTGATGTTTCCTCTTCTCCTTGATATCCTGTGTTACAGAAACCTGTATCCTGTAGAGAGACCAAGTGACACTCGGAGGGTTGGAGAACTCGGGTTTCCCAAGGAACCCGAGAGGAGTTAACACTCCAAGCTCTGGACCCCGTCTGTAGGTTTACACAGGCTTTTAGGTTTCAGTTAAGTTCATGTCATATGCAAATGAGGTGTTAGGAGTGGACCAATCAGGAGTGAGCTTTTGGGAACAAATGGAATTTTAGTGCTAAGTTCCATTTTCCTAGAAGCAAACTGTTTCACAGAAGTACAAAAGTGGGAAGGCAGTGGCCCTGGCTGGGAGGTCTTGCTGGTCCCTTTGTGGGTTTTGCCCCTTCAACTGAAATATTATGATGTCAAGTTAACAATACTTAAATACTACGATATGAAATCAGTACATCTTGTGTTACATGAGAAGAGAATAAGAGAAGAAAACAAAGATTATAAACAAGCATGTTCATCATGAGACAATGAACTTATGATAGGACATGTCCTATCTCATGTCATGTCCTCATGTCTATAACCAGTCACATGGTCATAGCTGGTATTTATAACCACCTTCTTCCACTACCTATTTTGTATTCCCTTTGCCTTCAGCAAGCACCTCAGCTGGTTACAGTTTTTGGCCTGGTTGGATGATCTAAACCTTCATTCCTGAAGGGCCTGGGCCATTAGTAATCCTGCCTGGATTGGGTTGGTATAGTTTTCCGCTGACCTTAATCACAGGGCATGGTAATACTAAAGATGCCCTAAGAGAGCACTGGTATTCCAGACATGCTCTTCCTCACCTCCATTGTGAGTTACAGTCCGGTTTCCCCTTGGTGTTCAGCATCACTCACCCCAGCCAACATTGTATGTCTCCTTTGCCTGTTGACTCAGAGACATGAGGAACCCAAAGTGGTTCTCTTAATTTCCAGTTCAGTGAAATCATTGTTGTGTCTTCTGGTGGAAGTTTTTTTTCTCTCTGGAACTAAGACCTCTAGGCTAGCAGAATGTAGCTTTGCAGGAATAAGAAGCAAAAATATTACTAGTGGGTTTCTAGGAGTAAGAGCCAGGGAGGGTACCACTATTTCCCAATTCCAACCCTTGATTCTTGGACCCATGAATTCTGGCTGTGGGAGAAACAGAACCATATACTGGAGGCTGATTCAGAGCATATACAGCCTTATGGAGAAACTTGCCCCAGCCCTGCAAGGTATTGCCACCTAGTTCACAATGTAATTAGGTCTTCAAAAGGCCATTCCACTATCCTATCAAGCCAACTGCTTCAGGATTGTAGAAAATACGGTAAGACCAATGAATTCCATAAGGATGGGCCCCTTGCCACACTTCATTTGCTGTGAAGTGAGTTCTTCAATCACAAACAATGCTGTGTGGAATAGCACGACAGCGGATAAGGTATCAGTCTGCCACCACACAGCTGCCTGGGCACCACAGGAATGGTACTCTACCGAGGACTCAGGGTTGGCCTTGACTGCTGGCAGATTGGACATTCAGCCATGATCATAGTCAGGTTGGCCTTGGTGAGTGTAAGTCCATGTGACTGAGCCCATGCATAACTCCCACCTTTGCTACCATGGTGATTCTGTTCATGGGCCTATTGGGCGGTGACAGAGGTGGCTAGGGAAAGATACTGACTGGTGTTCACAGAACAGGCTATCCTAGCTACTTGATTATTAAAATTGTCCTCTGCTGAAATGACCCTTTGGTGTGCATTCACATAGGACACAAATATCTTCACATTTCTGGCCCATTCAGAGAAGACTATCCATGTCTCTCTTCCCCAGATTTCCTTATCACCAATTTTCCAGTTATGTTCCTTCCAATTCCCTGATCATCCAGCCAAATGAATGGACACAGCTCATGATACATAATTACACCTCTGGCCTTTTTCCTTCCAAGCAAAGTGAACAACCAGGAGTGTTGCAGCAAAGTGTGTTACAGCTCAGCTGTGACAGCAACCTGAATCCAGGCGAGAGACCAAGCAGTACTCTGAGAGTTGGAGAACTCAGGTTTATTACGCCAGCGGGCCCAGAGGAGTTAACACTCCAAGCTCTGAACCCCATCTGTAGGTTTAGACGGGCTTTTATAGGCTGCCAGTCTACACTTTGCAACATCATATGCAAATAAGGTGTAACAATAGTTGACTAATTAGGAACCAGCTTTGTAGAAAATCAGGAGAGATAGAAATGGACCAGTCAGGAGTTAGCTCAGGGAACCAATAAAATCTTAGGGATAAGTTTCCCTTTTTTAGAAATAAGCCCTTTCAGAGGCAAAAAGTGAGATAATGCCACTGGGCCAGGGAACCGGATGGTGCTGGCAGGAGAGTAATGGCCCTCCCTGGAGGTCCTGCTGTTCTTTTTCAAGGGGCTTCCCACTTCAGGGGCACTCCTCAAGGTTCTTCCTATGGGGTGGATTTCCCTTCACTAGTGTCCTTCAGGGGTGCCCTAAAATGGAGTACCACGTCTAGAAGAAACCTCTGCCAAATTCCCTTGCTTCTCCTGGAACTTACCTCTATACTTCCAAGTTAAATAGAACAAAAGCAAAAGTAAGCTTATGCTGCTATTTTTTTTTTACTTTGGATATTATATATTGGCAATGTTTTCTCAATGATTTCATTTATTGATTTTTTTAACTTGGGAAATATTTGGTATAAGGGTTAGGAAGTATAACTTGGTTTCCTTCTTTGTAGAACGCAGAAAGTACTAGTAACTAGCTATAGGTTTGTTGTGAGAATTAAATGAGCTAAAGTATATAAACAAATTTCTTCTGTATAGCACAGAGAACTGTATTCAACATCTTGTAATAACCTCTAATGAAAACGAATATACGTATGTGCATGACTGGGTTATTGTGCTGTGCACCAGATACTGTTACTATGTTTCAGTTTTTAAAAAAATGCATCCAGGAGAATGGTTACCACTGGTGTCTGTGAAGGGGTATGGGCGAGGAAGGTGCTGAGGGTGGAAACAAGAGTGGAGATAACAAAAAATAATGATGATAATGACGTAATAATGTCTGATACTTGTATAGTGTTTACAATTTTCTAGTGTTCTAAGTGCTTTTTATTAGAACTAGTTTCTCACATAGGGCCAGACCTCATTTTTTTTTTTGGTGAGGGGAGGTAATTAGGTTTACTTATTTGTTTATTCTTGGAGGAAGTACTTGGGATTGAACCGAGGACCTCATGCATGCTAAGCATGCGCTCTACCATTTGAGCTATACCCTCCCCTCAATGGTGGATATTTTTAAAAGCGTCCATTCGACACTTACTGAGTACGTATTATTTGGTATGTACAGTGCCAGACACTGAGGATGCAGTTGTAAAGAAGGGAATTACAGTCAATATTGGAAGGCAAGCCTTACAATTTAAAGGAACCCTTTTAAAAAGAAGTAATGAGTGTCATGAAAAGGGCAATACTGAGTCTATGCTTTTGTTTTAACCAATGGTGAGCGCCAGTTAAAATATATGTCTCTTATTACAGGCTACAAAATGTAGACATAATTTTTTTAAATTCAAAAATCTGTTAAATAGATTCTAACAGTTCTTTGATCAACCAAGAATAAGCAGTAGTGAGAGGCTAGTCTTCCACGTTTTTGTATTACATACTTACTTTTCCCTTTTACTATCATTGTCATCATAATTATTAATTAAAAGGTGTACGAGGGGATACGTGGTTACAGCAGGGGCTGGAAGACTTCAGCCTCCTCGGGCTTCCAGCAAGAACGCGTTCTCCGGCGTTCCCGCATTGGCCCTTCGCGGACACCGTAGAGGGCCGTGCCATGGAGACGGCTGGGAAACAGAGTTCGAAAGGAAAAGCGCCGCGGGTCCCCTGTGCGCAGGCGCACCGGCGCCCGGAGGCCTGGCGGCGGCGGCCCCGGACATCCCCGCGCTGGGTGTTCCGCTTTACTGCGGTGCGGTCCGCCGCGTCCCGTGCCCGTCCCGGCGCGCCCAGGTACAGGTGCCGGGGAGAGCGGGCCCGGGATGCGCGGCCCCCGCGGCGGGCCGGCCGGGACGGAGGGAGCGCCAGCCGAGCCCCAGCGCCGGGCGTCCGAGCCCAGGCGGCCTCGGCAGGTGGACGCGGCCCGGGGAGGGGGCGTTGCCCCGGCAGGAGCCCCCGCCCGACCCGCTGCTCCGCTCCGCCTCCGCCCGGGCTCCCGGAGAGACGCTCCCTAAAGAGGGGTTGCGGGGGGCCGTGTCTTGTCTCCGGGCTGGCGAGCCTGGGGCGGCTTTCGGCTCTTGACGTCTGTTGGTCTCCCCCTCCGGAGTTCAAACTTTCTGTTGTGTTTCTCCGTTTCTGCCAACCTTGCTTTTCCGCATTGCTCTCCCACAGTGAATCCTAAGTGATTTAATTTTTTTTTATTTAGAATAATTTTGTCCGCTTGCAAAGTTACTTCCCTTTTCTCCAAATTTTAAAGTCATTTCTAGCCAACGAAGCTGTTTCTTCTCAGTTTTGTAATTTTGGGGGGGTGGGGAAGGGAAGGTGGGTAGGAAATACTTCCTTTTACATTTAAGGAGGTTTGATAAGGGAAGCACAGCTTCCAAGAAGAAGAGAAGAGAGGACTAATTTTTGGTTGGCTGTTCCTGAAAAGGACACCAGTTCTTCAAGTGACACTTAAAGAATTACTGTAATCATAACTGTAATTATTATAGCTCAAAATACCTAAATGCAGGTGTGTGGAATATTTATGTCATTTCTAAGATCTTTGTGAGCCCAGCATGGCTGCCCTTTACATTGTTAATGTACATCAGAGAGTTTTAATCCCTCAGTTTGATTCGTCTTTACTCGTAAAGCACTGGCTGAAAGGAAGGAGGCCCAGTGATTGGAGTTCTGCTTACTGCCCACCCCTGCTTTCGGTGGTCATGCCTGGGCCTCTCCGACTCAGGAATGCCTGGGCTTCCAGGTTCCCTCTTCCCTCTGCAGGTTGCTCGTGTGGAGATTATTCTAACCAGGTCTAACCCTAATCGGGGAGGAAGTGCAAACAGGATCGTAGCGACCTCACAGTTTCTTTCTCCGTTTCAGGTGCCTTCTCCAGGAGGGAGAAATGGCCACGAGGCTGCTGCCATTCCGGGCTCTGGTGAGTGCAGGCTTCTCTCTTGAACTGTCCTTGGGGTTCAGAGGTGGATGGGGCTTGATTGCTTGTTGAGCTTTTCCAGGTAATGAAGCCCATTAAGGGGCCCGAGGGCTCCCGAAAGAGGTTCCCCTTGCCTCAGGGCCAGTCACATTGTGAATTCTTCACTTAACTCAGTGATCACCCAGCTGATCGCCCACTGGGGATCCGGTGCCTCTGAGGAAACTCATTTGTTACCCACATTGGGGTGAAGTGGAGATCAATATGTTAACAGTGCTTGTTGACTAGGAAGTGAATGGGCCCTCAGGCCCCATGCCGGTGCCACACCCAGAGCTTTGTGAGGGATCCAGGTCTGTTTTTGCGCTGTATGGGGCAGAGACAGTTTAATGACATAAAGAGTCAAATCTTTCCTTAACACTAGGAAATCAAAGAGGAACGGCATTCCTGAGGACCAGTCAGCCCCAGTAATACTTGGTAAGGGTCCAGTGATTTTCTAGGAAGATCTAGAAGGAAGACCAGTGAATCAGCAGGTGTGGTCAGGGGTACTCTCTACTATTTTTTTTTTTTTGGGCACACCCAGGCAGTACCAGGCTCACACAGATGGTGAAAGGAAAAGAAGTCACAGTGTGGGCAGTGGTTTTCAGGGCCAGACTCAGGGAATCGAGCTTTTCCTGAGGTGGGAAGCCTCCGGTCCATGGTGATTTCTTCCCTTTGCCCATTCATGGCACTAGAGGAAATATAATCAAAAACATTATCCCTTCCCAAACCAGAAAACCTCTCCACAAAGGTAGGAGGGAAGGAAAACGCTTTTTATTACCGAATAAACATTAAACCAGAATGTAACGTGCGTCACAGGCAGGCCACTAAAGAGACTGCAGAGACAGAAAGCCCGCTGTCCTTAGCTCAGTGCTATGACCCAGTTTTGCAGTTTGGAAATTTGTCAGGTGACAAGTTAGGCCCATCTCCTCCCAGGAAATGGGGAGGTTGGCACATTCAAAGAGTTGGTTACCAGGTCCTTGAGAAAACATTTGTGATGATTTGGCGGATGATTTATTTAGCATTTAAAAGATGTACATACATTTGGACAAAGAAAGAAATTCGGAAAGAAAATGGAAGAGGGGGGCGGGAGTCTTCTCCCTTATTTCTGACAGCCTCTTATTTTTCATTTGTTTTTGTCCTAACCAGTCAGAGAACATCCCTGGCCTTGTGACCTCCTTTCTCGGTTTGGGGGGAGATGTTAATGAGAGAGTAAAAGTATTTCCCCCTCTAGAAATGTGTCCTAAGGAAATAAGCTTTGCATGCTTTTCTGGTGACGTACAGGGATGCTCAGTTCAGCGTTTTTAGGATTACAAAAATGGGAACAGCCTAAATGCCCACAAGTAGATTACCTACGTAAACTGATTCATCTGTACCGTGACACACTGGGTAGCAAGTAAAAAAACTGAATGGGATAAAGTTACATGTGTAATATTTTATTTTTGTTTAAATCCAGAGCCATATTAGCATGTAAAAAGTCCGAAAGGATATACAGTTAGAAGTTAACAAACCTTCTTTCTGGTGGTAGAAAGTTAGATCTATTCCCTTTTCTTATGCTTATTGGTCTTTCCTAATTTGCTTTTAAAAAAAAGATTCTTAATAGTAAAAGAAAGAGACACCAGTTTATAAGAGGTGACTTGTGATGCAGTGAGGTGGGAGATGTTACGAAACACAGGTTCGTGTGCCTGATGCACGGTAAGGCCAAACAAACCGCAATGCCACAGTGTGGAGCGGAGGAAGGTTTATTCATTGCAGGGCCAAGCTAGGAGAACTGGGGCTTGTGCTCAAATACTCAAACTCCTTGTTGGTTTTCAGGGAGAAGTTTTTATAGGCGAAATTTGGGGTGAGGGCTGCAGGATGTATGACTTCCTTTGGTTGCTGGTGACGGAGCAGGGTGGTGTCCCCGGACTCCTGCTCTCAGCCTGAAGTCACCGCCCTCCACCTGGCTGGGGGCCTTAGCTCCTGCAGGAACACGCAAAGACACATTGTTACGTGTATCCCTGGAGCAGGAACGGGACCCTGCTTTACTGCTGCGCTGTTGTTTCTTGACTGCTTTTCCTCTGTTCTGCATTCCCTCACTCCCCTGATCAGCAACTGTTTGAATCTGCCCTTTGGTACTCAGGAAGGTTTAGGAGGCTGAGGCCTTTTTCCTGTAAACCAGAAGTGGGGACACGGAAGGGCTTTTGTCTCCAGGAGGGCCCCACAGGGTCCTGCTCCGTCTCAGAGAGACGTAGCAGAACAGAGGCTGGCGGGGGAGGGGTGGGGGGAGGCGGGGGGAGTCCCACCTGCAGCCTCCTCACCTGGCTCTTCCAAGCCCACCTCCCTGGGCCCGCTCCTGGGAAAGCGGTGCCTGGGCATTCTAGAGCCTCCCTTCCTGTGACTGTCACTGTCCTCTCGCCCAGGACACAGATGGCCCAAGGTGATGACCGAATCCGGGCATACCTTTTCCTCCCTGAGTGAGTTTGCTTCTCAGACCCACTTCTCTTGTCTCACCTGGGAATGAGTTTGGTCTAGGCGATCGTGCATTTCCATGTCTAGAGTTCTGCACTGCCATCATTCTGATTTTATTTAATGATTTTAAATGCTTACCTTGTTTGGCTGCTGTGTTTCAGCTTTCTGAAGACTCAGTGCTTCACTGACAGTGTTACCGAGTATCGAGTCCAAACTGATTCTGCTCACTGCACAGCTGGCCAATAAATCAGGAGACGAGGTGTTGGGGCAAGGAATAACGACTTTATTTGGAAAGCCAGCAGTCCGAGAAGATGGCAGACTAATGTCCTGGAGAACCATTTTACCCAAGTCAGAATTCAGGCTCCTTTTATACAAAAAAGGGGAGGGGGTGTGGTTGGTTGCTGCAAACTTCTTGGTGTAGGAATTCTTTGTTCTTGCAGCTGTCCACGTGGGTTAGATGATGGTGTCCCTGTAAAACCTCTAGCAAAACAAACTTTATTTTTTATTCTGGAACTTGTTATCTTTATATGAGTGCAAAAGTGTTAATATCCTTAAAGGTCAGAGCCTTGAGAATAGGCTCTTCTGTGTATTTCAGGCTAAAGGCAACATTTTTTTTTACAACAGGTGCAGAGCCAGCAAGACTAAGCCTAGAAAACAGGGCACAGGGTTAAAGCCAAGGGAACAGGTCTCATATGGAGTCAGGTTTGTTCTCTTCTACTGCAGCAGTAGGTGGGTGACAGATGTGTGCTCAGTGACTGAGGGGTGGTCAGGAAGTACTCAGCTGGAAATGCTCAGAACCTAGAGTGGCGGCAGGGTTGCTGCTCAGTCACCCCACTGCGGGCATGGGCCTGGGTGAGCAGGAACGGCTTTCTGTTCCAGGAGTCTGTGACGTTCAGGGATGTGGCCGTGTTCTTCAGCCGGGACGAGTGGCTGCACCTGAACCCTGCGCAGAGAGCCTTGTACCGGGAGGTGATGCTGGACAACTACAGCGCCCTGCTGTCGCTGGGTAAGGACTTTCCTTGTGATGCAGAGTCTGGTGTGGGGGCATCCTGGTGCCCTCTCCAAGGAGGACACTGCGGGGCATGGACTCAGAAAGTAGCAGTTGCCATGCCCCTTGGCTGCTGGGACGAGTCTCGGCTTGGTAGAGTTGCTGATGGGCATCCTTTCTGTGCCTTTCCTGTCTTCTGCCCCCGAACTCTGTCCCTCGGGGTCTCATAGGAGGTTCCAGCTTAGAAAAATGCACAGCCATAGCCCTAACTTGCATCCTGAGCTCACCTCCTGGCCATCCTCTGGGAGCCCAGTTTTAAGCTCCTTTCAGAACAAACCTCTTTCCTCTCAGCTGTCCCTCTGCCTTAGAGACCCTGAGGCTGGATCTGAGTGCCAGAGCGTCCCCTCATGTCTGCACCGTGGATTCATTCTCTTTCTTGCTCATGAACAGGGATTCTGTTTTCCAAACCAAAGGTTATCCTCCAGTTAGAGCAAGGGGAAGACCCCTGGATGGTGGAAAATGGAGTTTCTCAGAGTGCGTGTCTAGGTGAGTGACAGTAATTGCATAGCATTTTCTAACTGCCTGGGCTCTGCTGATCAGTGAAGAGGCCGCGCTCAGGCAGCATCCAGCAGAGCCCTCCTTGATGTGCCAGGCCCAGTGGGAGATGCTGGCCAGAAGGGCATGTCCTCACTCTGCCTTTCGGAGTACGTGACATGGCAGGTTCGGAGGGAGAGTTGAATTCTCCCAGCCTGGGCTGCATTTTTACCACGTGTCCTTTGTCATTTGGATGCAGACTATGTAATGAAATATATAATGTTTAAAGGTTTGAGACTCATAGCTTCCCCTTTTTTTCTTGCTTTTACTAGATTATTTTCTTAAGTTATTTTCCTTTTATGGTTTGAACAAACCTTTTATCACTGCAGTGCACCCCCATTGTCCCATCTTGGGTTTTTGCTTTGACTTTTCTTACCTGCAGCTTTTTGCACATGGTTCAGCTAAAAAGAAAATGATGCACGGGTGTCTTTGTGCTACACAAGAGAAAGCAGGGCTAGCAGGACGGGACACTTTCAGACCCGAGCTGCAGGGATGTCTCTCTCTCGGCCTCTAAAACCCCTGTGGGTTGCAGAATTGTAAGCTCTTGCTTTCTGTCCCACTTTGGGTTTTGTCTTTGTTTCTGGCACCAGAGGATGGCTCACTGCTTTGAGTTTTGCAGCTTGTGCAGAATTTACTTCTCCTGATGGCAAGAGGTGGGCTTTCTGTGTCAGTTCAGTCTTGTGTCCATTCGTGAACCCTGTATTCAAGATTTTTTCCCCTTTGGTTTGACTAGAATATTTCTTGACTAATGTTTTCACATATTTGTGCATGTCTGGTATCAATTCTCTTATTTCTGTGGGAATTATGCTTTAAGTTTGGAATTCTGGCATCAGTTTTTATTCCCTAAGAATTACTCAAAACTTTGCTCTGCTGTTTTGGGGCACTGAGTGTTGTTGATCAAAAGTCCTCGGTTAGTTTTAAATTTTTTCCCTCTTATTTCCTGTATAGAAAATCTCTTTTCCCCCCCTTTTTTGTCTTTTGTCTAGAAGAGTATAAGATACTCTTTTCATTTTTGGAATTCAGAAGATTCATTATATTATATCAAGGAGGCTTCTTTTTTTCTCCAAATTATTTGACATTCAGGGGGCCCTTTGCTTTGAAGACCCAAGTCTTTTTTCATTTCAGGAATCTTTTTTCTACCACATACTAACATATATTCTGCCACATTTCACCAACAATTGGAGGAGGCTGACTGCAAGAATAATGAACTAATAAGATAGAAATTCAGTCAGAACCTTAGAAAATAAATGTATCTGTTCTGAGACCCAGAACAGTAGCCGTGGATGAGCTTCAGTTTTGATTGTGAGCTTTCAAAGACATCATTAGTTGGCAAAGAAATCATCAGGTTCAAATTGACTGTGTTCTTCTTTTGCAAGCATATAAAAATTAATTATATTAACTTGTTTAAGGTATACATGGTGTTGTAAAAAAAAAAAGAGAGAAGCAAAAAAGAAATTTATTTGAAATTTCACCAGCCATGCTGAGCCATTGTTAATATTTTACTATTTATCCTTTCAAACTGTGTGAAGATTTGTTTGAGTGTGTTTGTACATGAAACACATACACAGAGAAACAGATTGTACATCTTGTTCTTGAGCCTGTTTTTGATTGTGAACGTCAGTGAATTAGTCAGCCTTTGTTGAATAGAGGTCTGCTTCATTGAAAGAACTCTAGTGTATTCTTAAACCATATCTTATTAAACAGTCTTTCTTTTGGAAATTTTAGTTCCCCATTTTCTCCTATTAATACTGCTGTCATGGCTATGGAATGCAAAGGTAAATATAAGGGGAAAAGGGTCCAAATAACTAAGTGCAAAGACACGAGTGTTGTTTAAAAGGCAAGGAATGTGAATTTAAAGTTCACATAAGATTTTTTTGAAAAACTAGTCAACTTAGTTATAAGTCAGTGAAATTCAAACCAAAGCAGTGAGATACCATTTTTTCCCTGTTAAATTACTGAAGGTTAAGAAACACATGTCCAGGGTTCTTCTGTTACTCTGAGCAATAAGCAGAGTCTTTAGTGGGATTTTGACTGTCCTCCTGGAGGACAGTCTGCCTTTATTAAAATCAATCCCAGGTTTAGAAATTTATTGTAAGAAAATAATTGCATAATTGTGCAAAGTTGTAAAGATGGTGTAAGGGAATGTTAGAACATGAGGCATCACTAGGAGTAAAGAAAGCTAAACGATTCAGAAGGGGATGTATTAAATGATGATATATTCATGCCTTGGAATATTATGTAGCTGTTAAAATGATGGTGTCAGCCCACATTTATTGACATGGAGAAAAGTTCACAATTTTTTTTTATTGAGGCACATAGTCAGTTTACCATGTTGTGTCAATTTCTGGTGTGCAGCACAATGCTTCAGTCATACATGAATATATATACACATTCATTTTCATGTTCTTTTTCACCATAAGCTACTCACAGTTTTTTTAAGTGAAGTAGGGGTAGGGGGAAGTTTAGTTTCAACCCATTTTAATTTTTTAAGTAAATGTGTTATTTTTTAATATACAGAAAAATTTTGGTGAGCTCCATTCCACATATAACAGTGATTATATTTGCATGATGTGTTTATGAGTGAACAGTATTTTCATTTTTATAGTTTTCTATATTTTCTTAATTTTTCTTACAATGAGTATATATTTCCTTTTTAGCTAAGAAAATTAAACCTCTCATAAAATACATTCATTCTTTTGAATCAATGGTTCCATTTTTTGCTCTGTACCCTAAGTGATGGAAAAGGTGGGTGGAAAATCACTCAGGAATGTACTCTTCTCCCAGTATTCCTCTGTCACTGTATGTGGCAGCTGTCTCCACTGGGTTCCCCAAGCCAAACGCTAGGCGTCTCTTGGGTCCTCTTGCTTAGTTAGTACCAGGGTGTATTCACAGGTGAGCATACCTGTTCTCTCTGCCTCCACAGTATCCCAGTGCACCTGCTTCCACTACGATGCCCCCATCCCCTCCACGCAGGAGGACCGTGGCAGCCTCCTAACTGGCTGCTCTGCCCCATCCCTGTTCTCTTTTCGCTGCCCCCAGTTGCAGTCTGTTCGTCACAGAACCGTAGTTACCCTTTTTAGACAGAACTGTCATGTCCCTTCTGCTCCCTCATGATCCTGTGACGAAATTCCAAACACCTTCCTATATCTTACAAGGTCCCACGAGCTGTGGCCCTGCCCGCCTCATCCCCCCACCTTGGAGCACTCCCCGGTTCCCGCTTGCTAGACCACGCTGGACTTCTTTATGGTGCTGCAACACTCAGTGCTTGTTCCTGCCTTAGGGCTCCGAGCTGGCTCTCCTTTCTGATTGGAATCACCATCTTTATACTCGCGTTCTTGCCTGGCCAGCTCTTGTGTGCCATTTAGATCTCATCTTTAATCTTATTTCCCTATCACCCAGTTTAAAATACCAGGTTGTGCAGTCATATGACCCGTCGCCTTGTTTTTTTGTTTTGTTACAGTTCTCATTACTCCCAGTGCTTCTCTGATTATTTGGTTAGTTGGTGGATGTCAGTATCCGGCCCCTAGAATGTAAACCTTGTGAAAATTGGACACTTACTGGGCGTGTTCCCTGTAACCCTGAGTCTTGACCTTTGCATGGTACATAGTGGACACTCAGGAAATAGTCTGAATGAGTCCGTGAATGTTCATCCCAGCAGTATTCACAGCACTCAGACGAGTCCCAAGACGCCACTCTCGGAGGCCCGTGTTTCAAAGAGGCTTTAGCCCTGCACTCCTTCCCCGTCTTGTTGACGGCCCCTCTGCAGTTTTCTCTTAGATTAACCTTGAGTGCACTGGTGGCTGACCTGGGGGTGAAGCCAAACCACAGCACAGCCTGCTCTCCTCAGAGATGCCCTGTGCCCTGCTGACCGCTGCTCTGTCACTGGGGCAGGCCCGGCTCCTCCGCGGGAAGAGCTGCCCTCCCAGTCCCTCAGCCCACCTGCATGTCGGTGTCTTCAGACCTTTCCTGCCTGGGCACGGCTTCCAGCCTGCTGTGTTCTCCTCCCCTTCTTCCCCCGTCCCTTTCTAAGGACTCCCAGGATGTATTTGCTAGCTGCCCTTGTATGTTTAGATGTCACTTTCCTTTATTCCCAGTGCGAGAGAGACTTACACGTTTTGCTTATTTTAGGATGGGAGAGCTTGTTTGAAACGACAACCTGTTCCAAAGAAGAAAATCAGGAAGTAATGAATGAACTCACAGGTGATGGTCCTTTTGACTTCAAACTGGGAAAAATCTACATAAATGAGGACCAGCTAGAGAATCAGCAAGGCAAGACGCACAGACCTTTCAGGGAAGTCTTAGTTGCCATCCAGAAAACCTTTATGAAGGAGAACAGCTTTCTAGGTGTTGACCTTGGGGAAAGTCTTGATCTAAAATCATTTATGAGAAAACCGGGCATAGTTTCCAGAGGAAGGAAACCCCGTTCACAGCAGTATTCAGTTCTGTTTAAGCAACTGGGAATCGACACGGTGCGTAAATGTTACAAGTGTAATATCTGTGGGAAAATCTTCCTCCACAGTTCCTCCCTGAGTAAACATCAGAGAATCCACACTGGAGAGAAGCTCTATAAATGTAAGGAATGTAGGAAAGCTTTCAGCCAAAGCTCATCTCTGACTCAGCACCTGAGGGTTCACACTGGAGAGAAGCCTTATATATGTAGTGAGTGTGGAAAAGCCTTCAGTTTCACCACGTCGCTCATTGGCCATCAGAGAATGCACACTGGAGAGAGACCCTATAGATGTAATGAGTGTGGAAAAACGTTTAAAGGTAGCTCATCCCTTAATAATCACCAGCGAATTCATACAGGAGAAAAGCCCTATAAGTGTAATGAATGCGGGAGAGCCTTCAGCCAGTGCTCATCTCTTATTCAGCATCACCGAATTCATACTGGGGAGAAACCGTACGAGTGTACTCAGTGTGGGAAAGCCTTCACGTCAATATCGCGGCTAAGTAGACACCATAGAATTCATACTGGAGAGAAACCCTTTCATTGTAATGAGTGTGGAAAAGTATTCAGTTACCATTCAGCCCTTACTATACATCAAAGAATTCACACTGGCGAGAAACCTTATGCCTGTAAAGAATGTGGGAAAGCCTTCAGCCAAAGCTCAGCTCTTATACAGCATCAAAGAATTCATACTGGAGAAAAACCTTATAAATGTAATGAATGTGGGAAAGCCTTCTCCTGGATTTCACGGCTTAATATACACAACAGAATCCATACTGGAGAGAAACCATATAATTGCAAGGAATGTGGAAAAGCTTTCAGTTCCCACTCAGCAGTTAATACTCACCGAAAAATTCATACTGGAGAGAAACCTTATAAATGCAATGACTGTGAAAAAGCCTTCAACCAAAGCTCCGCTCTGATTCAGCACCAGAGAATTCATACTGGAGAGAAACCGTATAACTGTAAAGTCTGTGGGAAAGCCTTTCGACAAAGTTCATCCCTTATGACACATATGAGAATTCATACAGGGGAAAAGCCTTATAAATGCAGGGAGTGTGGGAAAGCTTTCAGTCAGAGCTCATCCCTCACCAACCACCAGAGGACTCATACTGGAGAAAAACTGTAAGTAAAAAGCATGTGGCAAAAGCTCCCAACTGAAGTTCATGCCATTGACTATCAGAGAATTCACCCTGGTGAGAGCATCAGGAAGAGTATTAACTGTGGGTTAAGCACCAGAATTTATACCTCGTCAACCATGAGAGACTTCGGGGTGCAGGATAACCTTAGGGACAGTAGGAAAACTTTGGTACCACTGTTTTTTCATGTGTTGTTAAGTTATTACAGACCATAGAATAGGTAGATCAAACAGTATTTTATTTTCTTTGTGGTGATCACAGCCACCAGCTTTCCCAGCCGTCACTGGGGAAGCATGTAGATCGATGGAAAAGTGTAGCCATAACATTCCAGACTGCAGATGAATGTAGGATTCTGTTTTTCTGAAACTGCATTTTGAGTGTCGTGCAGGTAAGTTGTACTAGGAAGAATGTTTTGGAGGGGAGAGTAAGCAGGTGACCTGGAGCTACCTCACTGTCACTAAAATTTGTTTTTGTAATAGTTTAAAAGTAAATTCTGCACTTGGAGATTAAAACTTCGGAGTTATTTCTCCCCTGCTTCCTTAGCCACTCACCTGAGAAGAAAATCACTCCATAACCTGCAGGTATAAATCTCGTGCGTTTTCTCCCTGGCTGCTTGCTCTAAACTGAATCAGATCGGAGGTCACATTATTTCAAATCACAAAATGCATCGTATGTCACTTGTTTTCCTCATGAAGTGATTGCCTTTGCTGTGTTGAGAATTAAAGGTTATTTAGACAACTGTTGCTTTTTGCAAGTTAATTTACTGATAAATGTAAAAAATTACCTTGCAGTGTAACCATAGGGAGGGTGACTCTTGGCTCCCAGGCTGTGCCTGCCTCCTTGGACTTTCTGGTCACCAGCCACTGGGAAGGCCCAGGGGCGTGGAACGTGGGTTGTCCTCCTGGGAGGTAAAGGGACAAGGAAGCTTTCACTCTTACATTCCACCTTCACCCCCGTCAGGTGATGCGCCCTCCCTCCCCACACTCTGAAGGCCGCCAGACAAAATGCAGGCTCTACGTTCAGATGCTTTTTCCTCCAAAAAAAAAATGGACTCTTATTTTGATAAGTTATTTATCCCACTAAATCATTTCTAAAATGTGAATAATAATTCGAGCAAGCTGAAGACAGTTATCTCAGAAGTAAGACTGAAAATCTGTTGAACCCCGTAGAGGCTCACACCGGGTTCTGCCCCGTGTATCGGGCATAGGCAAGCACTTGGGGACAGGAATATTCATTTCACTTTAAAAGGCTTTAGTTTTTTCTGTTTGCCCAGATGCTTAACAAACAAAAACCAAAACTCCAGGAAGGTATTGGGGTTGGAGATTAAACAAAGCAGAAGTCAGTTGACTTCAGCTTTTGCCTTCTGGGACTAGTCAGTCTCATCGTTTCAGACTCGTGAGGAACAAACTCTTCTGGGTCACTTAATGCTCCATCTGCAGTGCCCCTTTCTCCACAACCGTTCTTTTAAACTCTAATTACCTAAGGCGGGAAAATTCTGGGAAACACATAACTTCCCTATCTTAGTTCGGGCTGCTGTACCCAAATACAGGCACTTGGTGCCTTATAAAGAACAGAAACTTACTTCTCACAGTTACGATGGCTGGGAAGTCCAAGATCAAGGCGCCAGTATGCTTGTGTTGTGGTTAGAACCCCCTTTCCTGGTCCGTTTCTGGTGCCTCCTCATGGTGGCGGGGGTGAGGGTTCTCCTGGAGGCCTCTGACAAGGGCACTAATCTATTCAATGAGGGAGGAGCCCTCACGATGGTCACCTCCCAAGACCCCACCTCCTAATTCCTAACACTCATCTTTGGGGTTGGATTTCAACATGAATTTTGAGGGGACGCAAACATTCAGACCAAAGCATTCCCCAAGTATTATAATCCTAAAATCACCCAAAAAATCAAAACCACACAAAATATTAGGCCTAGTTATTTTTACGGTAAGGTCTGTCAAACTTGCATATAACAGGTTGTGTAAATCTTGCGGGATCTTTCAGAGGAGATTGCCTACAAGCATGGCGACTTTAACATAACCCAGCACCAAAATCAAGTAAGGAAAGTACAAGAAAGGAAAACCGCAGGCCAGTGCCATCCAGGGACAGAACTGAAAACTCCTGAACAAGAGCGTTAGCAAATTAATCCCGAAGTACCTAAACATGGTAAATACATCGTGATAAATGTAGGTTTTTCGTGGGTTATTTTAACATTAGGAAACTTACAGATACTGTGCACAGCCTTAACATTAAGGTCCATATGCTCATCTCAATAAATGTAGAAGCAGCAAACAATGCACAGTTCCCATTCATGACGTCAGCCAAGCAACAGCAGAAAGAACATTGGGGTTGTTTCCAGTTTGGGGAAATTATGAATAAAGCTGCTACAAACAATTGCATATAGGTTTTTGTGTGAACATAAGTTTTCCTTCCTCTTTGGATAAATACCCAAGGGTGGGATTGCATAGTCAGCTGAGAAGTGGATATTAAACTTGATAAGACATTGTCAGACTTTTCCACAGCAGCTGCAGTGTTTTACATTCTCATCAGCAACGTACAAGGGCTCTGGTTTGAATGTGGGTTCTGCTGCCGCCTCGCCAGCACTTGTTAGCACTTGTTAACACTTGTTACTTTTCTTTTCTCCCCGCATGATAGCCGTTCTAACAGGTATGAAAAGGCATCTCGTTGTGGTTATGACTTGCGTCCCCTAATGACCAGGGATGTGGAGCATCTTTTAATGTGCTTTTTAGCCATTGTATATCTTATTTGGAGAAATGTCTGTTGAAATCCTTTGCCCATTTTTAAATTGCACTGTTTGTTGTTGTTGTCAAGCCGTGGGAGTTGTTTATATGTCCTGCGTGTACTTTCTGGCACTTCCTTATTTTCGGTGCTCTTACATACCAGGCAGCTGTTGCATATTTTCACATGTAGGGCATACTTTCTGGTGGTGGTTTTGTATCAATTTTAGGAACACCGCTGCCTCTTCTCTTTTCTCTTCCATACCCTTTATTGTTTTCTTTTTAAAGGTTATGTTGGGAGTTCTAGATTTATACCAGCATCACTACCTCATCTCCAAGAATTACCAGAAGAAACATTTTTGTTATCCACTCAAATAACAAGTCATCATGTCTACCTGATTTTTATTTGTCTATTCCAACAATATTTTTTAAGTGCTTATTATGTGCCATATCCCCAAACTTGGTTGTTCCTAAAACAGAACAAGCCACTGGCAGGCCTGTACCAAGAGAGGTCTAAAAGCTGCTGGTTCTCCAACATCTGCTTTGTGATCTCTGCTTCAGTAGAAAGGTATGCGCCAAGGAAAACAAGCTAACAAAACTCCGATTTCTTTTCAGCAACTAGATTACACCCAGTCAAAAATTATAGGTTTTCATGACTCACCCCATAAATTTGTAGAGCTGTGATGGAAAGACCCAGACAGAATTACCCTCAGAACCCTATATTTCAATACCATCTGGCCTGTATATCTCCTCATTTAGGTCAGTGGGGTTCTTTCTTCTAAACAAGTATTTGCAGTCACTCTTAAATGTATCTGTACAATTATAATACCCTTTAAACCTCTAAGAGAGTTCATATAGGACTGGAAGATACAAATAACTTACTGCCTATTTCTGTCATTAACACTCAGAATCATAGTAGTACCTGGGTGGCATTCTAAACGGTATACGTGTTATGTTCCCCCAGTCCTAGTCCGTCCATCACCCTCAATTCCACATGTGCACGAGGATGGGTGTCACTAAGATCATCAGCTGATTAAGAGAGTAAGATAGAAGAGGAGCCGTAATTTAATTTTAAACACGGTGCATATACTCCATTTTATTTAGCCTTTCAGATTTTGAATAGTTGGGAACAATTCCCATTATTCCTTTTCCACATTTTTTCTTTTTTTCCCTCACTGTAAAGAGAAGGAAGGGAAGGGAGGAACTAAGGAAGGAAAGAGGATGGAGAGGAGGGAGGAAGCAAGGAAGGGAAGAAACAGTTTGCCTTCAGTTACACCACCATGGACCCAAGGGGCCTGCTGGGTCAGGACAGTGGGTTTCTTACTATGTCATGGATGCTGTATGCAGTGTAGACATTTTTTCAAATAAAGCAGATGGTCATTTCTTTTTAAAGAATAAACTACATTAGAAAGAGAAAGTGAAAGAATAATCACTTTATAAATTGGATTCTGTAAGCTTGGAAGATAAATTTGAAGGCTTCTCCCAGAAATGGAGGAAAGGACAAAGAATTAAAATGTAAGATCTTCACATTGTCATGAAAGCCACACGCCAAGAATAAGAGTTTAATAAAGGAGAAAAAAAAATAGGACAGACAGTGCCTTAGCCTTTCTTTGTATCTCAGACAAAATAATGGAAAAGACCAAATTGCTAGATACAGGGGCAAAAAAATAGAAATACTTAAAGATACAGGAAACAAGGAGGGCAGGGTGGAGATTTATAAAGTCAATGTGGAGAAATAAACAAGCTTACCAACAAGAGGAGAAAAAGCATATTGGCCTCAGATTTCTCCAGAAAACTAAGTACAAGAGGCCCACAGAGTAACTGAGAGGGCACAGATGACAACTAGGCGGGGACAGTGTGAAAAAGAAACAGAAATGCCAAGTCTCTCAAAAGAGAAAATAAAGTTGGTATAGACATGATCAATAAAGAAACCAGTTAAATATAAATTTAAAAACAAAAATGATAAAACTCAAGGGAATGGCCAAAATTCATATCTGAGAAAGAAAAGGGAATATGGAAGTACTACAGTTAGATACTAGTAGTCATGGCCTATTAGCTCAGATTTTTAAAATTTTACCTGGGACAGTGAGTAAAATAAAATTGCACTTGGTTTAATGTATAAAGTATAAAACTTTAATAAACAGAAACCTCAAATAGGGACGGGAGACAGCAGGGGGCGCGCTCACCCCACAACAGGAAGAGCCC